GAGGAGCAGGAATTATTACTGGAATTCTTGTTGCTTATACAACAAAGGAAACAGGAAGTTGCAGATAAGTTGCAAAATACTCTTTCGTTTCTGTGTTCTGATATTGACGAAGTTATGAAGCACCAAATAACTTCTAAGAAAAAGGGCAGTTCAATCCCACAACTGGTGAAGGAAGATGATTCGACATCAAGTTTCCCATCTATGAATATTTTTGACGATGATGATTCTGCTAGTGGGTCCAGAAAAAGGTCCAGACCAGGCACCCGGATTCACAACGTAGATGAAAGCGATGATAGTTTGGAAGGTCAGAAGACAGATACTGAAAATAAAGAAGGTGTTCTCTTGAGAAGTTCTAGATTGATGAAGAACTTTAAAAAGCTCGAGGCGGCATATTTTTTAACGAGATGGAGGCCCGTAAAGCAGTCAGCCAAACCGGCTAGACATTCACCAATAAGCAGTTCTGTTGTAACTGAAAGAAGTTCGGTCAATAATTTGCAATCAAAAGAACATAGTGAGGGTAGACGAAGTGGTTGGATAGATCCATTTCTTGAGGGGTTGTGCAAGTATCTGTCTTTCTCTAAATTAAAAGTCAAGGCAGATTTGAAGCAAGGGGATCTTTTAAATGCTTCAAATCTAGTATGCTCACTTAGTTTTGATCGTGATGGAGAATTTTTTGCTACAGCCGGTGTTAATAAGAAAATTAAAGTATTTGAATGTGACACAATAATAAATGAGGATCGTGATATCCACTATCCCGTGGTTGAAATGGCTAGCAGGTCAAAGCTAAGCAGTATATCTTGGAATAGTTATATTAAAAGCCAGATTGCTTCAAGTAACTTTGAAGGTGTGGTGCAGGTAAGTTAAGCCTTACTTGTGATTCAAGTTACGACCTTTTATTAGCTTGTTTTAACTAAATTGCTTAACATGTTCAGGTATGGGATGTTACGAGAAGTCAAGTTCTTACGGAGATGAGAGAACATGAAAGGCGTGTATGGTCCATTGACTTTTCATCAGCAGACCCAACAATGTTGGCCAGCGGGAGCGATGATGGTTCTGTAAAGCTATGGAGTATCAATCAGGCAATTCTACTTTTGCACTTGGTGGATGTCAGCTTTGAAACTAAACGTACTGCATTGATCTATATGCATGATGTGTATGTCTAATTCTGGATGTCTGATTAGCTGATTCTTTTTGTGGGTTGCTTCTGCAGGGAGTAAGTATTGGTACAATTAAAACAAAGGCGAATGTCTGCTGTGTACAGTTTCCATTGGACTCTAGTCGTTCCCTTGCCTTTGGTTCAGCGGATCATAAAATTTACTACTATGATCTTCGTAACTCAATGGTTCCTCTGTGCACATTGACCGGACATAATAAAACCGTGAGTTATGTCAAGTTTGTAGATGGGACAAATCTCGTTTCTGCATCCACTGACAATACTTTGAAGCTTTGGGATTTGTCAATGTCCTCATCTCGGGTCATTGACACTCCAGTTCTATCATTCACCGGCCACACGAATGTGAAGGTACTGCCACTCATTTATTATATCATAGCAATTCTAGGCATACTTTATGAGATTGATGTGAGATTAGTATATGATAATTTTGTGTTCTACTATATGCAAAATATTTCAGAAGCTTAAATACATGATAACATTTGCATCAAATGTTTTCGTGTCAATGTTTCAAACCCTCCAAGATAGGCTGATTCTATAACATAACCCGTGTGGTGAACAATGATATATTGTTCTCCATTGACCAATATACTAATTTAAAACTTTTGGACCCTTTCGGATGACCAAAGTTTTCCGCCACGAGTTCTTTAACTGCATAAGCTTCTCATTCAATTCCAATCTTCATTGTTATGGATATTTATGAAGGAAAACGGCTAAAGAGCATCGTCTGTAAACGAGTAAATTCTTTTATACAGTTTTTCGAAGTTAGTCATTTGCATCTACACAATGTTATTTTTAGCCCTGATGCATTATTTTTGTCTATTAGATGCAAGTTTAATATGGCCGTAGTGGTCTATGATTTATAGCTTAGATGTGTTTTCCTTGATGCAGAACTTTGTGGGGTTGTCAGTTTCTGATGGTTATATTGCTACAGGCTCAGAGACTAATGAGGTAATTTAGACAAACATCTTTACTTTACCCCATGCGCAGGTTGTTCACATCTTGCTTCTATCATGCTACGACCAGTGAACCCAAATTTCAATTTCTTACATTCACCGAAAAATGTATTGTTAGAGGTTTCCAAAGCTTTGTTCTAAAAATTTAAGAAAAATGACCTCTTATAGTTGTAAAAATTAGGAAGAAACATGCTTTGAGAATAGCAAATCAGCTAGCTACGTAGTTTTCTTTGGTGTCACTGTTCTAGTGAGTAGTGACTCGTTTAAAAAGAATGTGATGTGGTGGTTGAAAAGATAAGGTAAATTGCAGAAGTTACCTATGCAAGCCTAAGAAGGATCTTACCTATCCGTTTAGTAATCAAATGTCTCGTACAAAAACTGTCATACGAATTTTGAACAGACAATGCAATCTGTTTTTATTCATATTTAATGAACAATGATTATGTGCTTGATTCATCAGGTTTTCATCTACCACAAGGCTTTTCCAATGCCAGCATTGTCGTACAAGTTTCAGAACACAGACCCACTTTCCGGCCAGGACACAGATGACGCTGCACAGTTTATCTCTTCCGTTTGTTGGCGAGGCCAAACCTCCACTTTAATTGCTGCAAATTCGACCGGGAATATCAAAATTTTGGAGATGGTTTGATGGTCTCCAAGGAAATTCTTGAATCTGGCAGGATATATGGGGTGTTGAGAAGAAAATGAGGTAAAAGAATGTTATGCCAGAGAAGCTTGTTAGCTCATAGGGGCTTTAGAAGGTGATAGGAATTCAATGTTTGCAAGCAAGATTGCAAATTTTGGTATTAGATGATGGCGGGATAAGTGGTTAATGTGAAATGTGAGAATGTTCTTGTTGAAATGCAATGTGTAGATAGAAATTTAAGGGAAGTAGGAAGGTACAAAAATTGGTATTTCTGTATAATTCGTAACACAATTCAAATCAATTTATATACTATAAGAGTTTTCGAATTCTTCTCTTTCGTTGTTTGTCTTCTAAAATGGTGATCAAAGGCACCATTTGGTATTTGTAAGCGAATTTATTTGAACTTATATAACCTCTATGTTTATATAATTATATTGCATGATAACCAACAAGTACAAGATACAATTAACAATAAAAATAAGGTTTATCAATAAATCCACACCCAATAATCAAACCCTAACAAAAAATGACAGCATCCAATACAAATCATGTTATTAAAAAAATGATCGGCAATACAATTTTTATGTTTATGTTCATACTTCTTTCTCTTATACCAAAAATTAAAATATTCAATACAAATAAACAAGAAGTTTTCTCTTATACTAGTTATACAATTTAGTGGTATACCACTTTACTTTCATAGGTTTAATGTTCGGTAATGGCAAATTCGAAGTAAATTATGTTGTGTGACTTAACTCAAGTCCAACCCCCCCCCCCAAAAAAAAATTCTTAAATTATGCAGTTCAACAAAATTCTTGTATCATAGTTAACTTATTGTGTGAATTAATGCAAATTACCTACCTTTAGTGTAATAATAATTATGTATTTAGACCAATTTAAAGCAGTAAGCAATTTACTCTCCATTTGTTCAGAAAAAAACAGAAAGAAAAAGATTCTCCCAAATGGACCAATTCTTTTTCATTTCGGTTAATGAGGTTTTGGTCATGCATATTCATGTTTTTATTACCAGTTCTGTCCTTTTAAAATTTGATTTTGTTTTAAATTTAGTAAAAAATTATTCAAATGAAAGTTTTATTTTTTATGATTTATAATTTTTTTTACATATCTATGTTTATTCTTGGTTATTAAATTTAATAAATCAACTGGGGAACAAAGAACAAACATAAGTGTGCATAAGAAGAACAGAAGTGTATAAAAATCATTTCTCTTTTCTTACGAGATTATTGTTTTGTTTGGACATGCTTTTAAAATGATTAAAATTGCTTTTTGTGAAATTGATTTTGGGTTCTGAAAACATTTTAAGTGTTTTTTGAAATAAGCATAAAGCATGAAACACTTTAAAATACTTTCTCAGGATCCTCTTCAATTTTTACTGAGAATTGGTTTCAAAAGTATTTCACCAAAAACGTTTTTAGTTATTTTAAAAACACCTCCAAACTAGGGAAAAAGAAAAATCAAATTTGAACGCAATACATCGATTAACAAACCTAATTCACTACAACATTTACATTTTTAAAATGGAGGCTCAATGATGGAAGTCCGGCCACCCATTTCTTAATTAAAACTGATTTGTTCTTGATTTCTTTTAATCTGGATTCTGGAAGGGTCGGTCAAAACCGTCGATATCTTCTGCCACCCAATTTGATGTAAACACCACAATTAAAGGTATAATAATTATTTTAAGATTTGGTTAACAATAGAAGATTATCCTCACCTACCTTAGAGTCTAGTCAGCACTATGTCACTATCATTCGTCACCATTCACTACTAATGCTTAAATTGCTTTTGTCAATTTCTCATTTTCATTGCCCAACAAAAGTTAGGTAAATTTCAGATACGTCAATGACATTTTAGGTCAAGCAGAAGGAGTCGGTCTTGTGAAAGCGAGTAAAAGTTTGGAATTCGTATGTCATTTATTACTTTTTGAGTCTGCTTTGGGGTAGTGTTTAACTAGGAGACCGAAAGACGATATTACCTCACGCGTTACTGAAGTTGCATGACGAAAGAAATTAATATGTCATTTATATGTGGTGACATACACCTCCTATATTCAAAACGACTTACCTAAAACTTCGAGAATTTGAACCACTCGACAGGTGTTCGAGCAACACAAGGGAGTAAAAAAAATAACGACGGAGGAGGTAATCACCACAAAGAACATCAAAGTTGTGGAGAAGATTTATCCAAAAGGATAAGAGAAGCAGGGTGGAGGAACAGTAAGAGTATACAACATATAATAATGTATGATTGTAAAGTTGCAGATATAGATCAACCTACAGAAACAATGACAACGACCAAACACCTGTTTGCTTTCAACAATGCGACAACCTATGGATACGCTCAAGGGGACACTAATCTTAATCTTCCTCATCAACCTTAATTCCATCAAACTTAAGCATAAAAAATGGACGATCCCTTTAAATTCCCAACTGCTGTCTTATACTGTTGATACAAGTATGACTCTTCTTTTTCGTTCACTAATTCAATTTCCAAGAATGTCAACACAATCTATTTACACTGGTTTTGACCAAACTTGGCTGTCAAGGTAAGCCTACCCACGAGGTGGCGAAGCCTGTCGGCGCCTGGACTTGGTTTGATCTTGTTCGGGTTACCAACCCTGGAGCATTTCGGTTTGCCAGCACACCAACCACCGGGAGTGAAGCTCTCTTTTCTTCGGTGAAGTAATTCCTTGTCGATCCTGTCCAGGACGGGGTCGTCGTGCCTGAATTTTCGAGCAAAGGCAGCACCACTTGCAATCATCTTGTTTGTGTCATTAATGTTGAGGGTATGAGGATGCTGCTTGGGAGGAATGTCCCAAGAAATGTAGTGCAAATCATGGTTGACGGCAGTCTTAGCAAACTCCGGCTCATTGCATAAAACAGTGTGAAAGTAGCCTTCTGGCGAAGAAACAAAGTTTGTGTAGTACATGAGAAGGGTCCTCGGAAGATTGTCCCAACCCCAAACGCAGTACTCAACGAACCAGCGTGATAAGACCATCCATGCCGAACCTGCAACAGAGGTGCATGTTAATTGATTGTCCAAAACAAAGACCAAAACTGGCAATGCAGGATGAAATAATATATCCGAAGTTACAGCCAACACTATCGGTTTTATCCGGAGAGAAAACAAACAACTCCATATCAATAGGAGAGCTACGGATCTGCTAATTTAGTCTGCTCACTAAAATTGTTCGAAGTAAAAATATCTAGTTTTCAAATTGGTTCGCTGATCCAATGTGAAATATCAAAATTACAAAATTTCATCCCCTGAAAATAACCCCTAGGCTTTCCAGTAAACCTTTGCCTTGGACAAACGCAGTTACAAGTTACAAAAAAGGTTACAAACAATGAGATTATTGCAGCAAGTTGCATGCTTACGTAAATCCCCCAAACGGTTCACTAAGTATTCCAGCAACCAGGCTATTTCTTCTCAGCAGAAGAAAGAACAAACTAGGCAACAACATACAATATCATTAATCAAAACATACAGTTCACTGAATTTCCCATGTTCAGATTCATCAGTTAAGTCTTCTCTACATGAAGATTTTGAATTTGCCAGGTTAAAAATTTTGTGAGTGACCAGAAAACTAATTAAAATACTCACCAGTAAACAATTTAAACGAAGTGGGCAATGTTCGCCGCGGTGTAACCCAAAATACATCTTGTTTTTTCGATGAGTAGAGACCAGGGTCTAAAATCAAAGGCATTGCTCGTTTATCCCTGGAAGACAAAAGTTAAAATAGCATTAGTGATAGTAATAAATATGTAAACATTCTGTATATGTCCACAGAGAGAGAACTCACTCCTTCCAGCCAAGTTGGCTTGTGTGCTCAATGAAATTCAGATTTCGGTTTAAAGTTGAAAAAGTGTTAATAAGATCTGCAAAAAACAAATCAAACAGTTTCTTTTAGCACAAAAGCTCACATTTTAAGAAAAGTTTACAACTGTAATTGATATGGACTTACCATCTTGAGTAACAAGCGGATAATCTGAGGCGCTGAGATTGATAAACCAATCCCAATCCTTACTCCTCCTGAGAAGAATTGCGCAGGCATGAAGAGTATTAGCAACCATTGTTGGTCCTCTGTAAGTTACCATATTAGCTTTCTTGATCATGAAAACATTCCCAACTGTATTAAAGAGAGTCTCGTTGTCCACTCGCGAAGCAAGCTCCAATCTTTCTGCTAACGGCGACTCAAGGTCTAAATGAAGAACATATTGATTCAATGGATGGTAAAGCGCTTTGAGAGTTCTCCAAAGCTTTTCCAAATCCCCCTTTGACCCGGAAATTAGATAAGCAAAGCGGGGAATCGATGGCACTGGAGGAGGGGGTGGACCTTGTGAAACTATAGTCTCAGCAAAAGCTGGACTAGATTGGTTTGTTACCACCCTAGATGGTAAAAAGGAAAAGATCGAATTGATTGCTTGTCGTGAAGATACGAGACCCAAGTTCATGGAGGTGGCTAGAAGGAATATGCATATGACAGAACTTATGAGAAGAGGGAATAGCCATTTCTTCTCCATTGCGGACCCCATTAGCAGACCTTAAGATGGGTTGTTCCAATCAAAAACTATTGCTACATAATCATTTTGCTCAACTGACCAAGCACGCTCGCGGATTTAAACAACGCCGATGAGATGCAGATTGAGACTCCTTTCTCAATAATATTCCAAAATCCAGACTTTTGAAACGGCTGTTGAATCAAACACCAAATATTAAAACGTATGCATTTGATTCATAAGTTGTAGCTTATAACTCTGGTAAAACAAAGAATATTGGAGCTTTGCCGTATCAATTTAGCAGAAGAATTAGTGCTAAAAACTGCCAAAACAACACTTATTTTATAAAATTATAATCAAGCAAGCAAAAAGCAATAGCAGAAGAGACACAATTGAAGCATAAGAAAATCGGCAAAGGAACAACAGAGGATTCAAGCAAACAAAATCAGAAATATATAATTAAAGAATTGCTTGTAACCTTGTTTCCAATGAGTCAATACCAAAAAAAACCATCAGATATGTGCGTTGACAATGACACAATCAGCTGCAAAAAACTGTGTCTAATCAGAAGAAAATTCCTAATTTTGTATCCCAAATAACAGAATGCAATATCGGCGGAGAGTCAAAGAAAAACACAACCCTATTGATTCAGTCATGCAAAACAAAGAAACCCCAGATCAGAATATTGCAGTTCTGTGTAATCCAACCAAAACAGAGAATCAGATGTCACATACCAGGGCAGCTGAATCGTGAGCTCAAAAATAGAAAATAAATAAAACCCAGAAAAGTTGGTATGCGTTTCGATACAAAGATGTAAACTTTAGTGAGAGAGAGGGATGTGAGAGAAGGAGTGGAACCTGTTGATTCTTTTTCTGGTGGAGAAGATGAAGAGCGTCCGTGCACGTTGAGGAATAAATAAATGGAAAAACAAAAACAAGATTTGGAGAGAGAGAGAGAGACAAAATCATGCGAGAGGAGAGAGAGAGTGGGGAAGTGGGGGAGATTGATTGTATTTTATAGGGAATGAATGTCTTTCTCTCTCCCCTGGGCTCGGAGACTCAGGGGCTTCGGTTTTGCTGGGTCTCCTGTATCTGGGATTCACCAACACGGCAACTGATTTCAACTGCTTTCCATCTCTTATTTTATCTGCTGTTGTTTTTGTTTCTCAGTTACAATCTCTGCGGTTTCATTCTGCTCTCCCTTTGCTGTTTTGCTGTTTTTTTTTTTTTTTTTGGAGAAACGGTAGCGTTTTTATTAGATTGCTAAGAACAACTACAATCTTTGTGAATAACGTCACATATAATATCGGGAGGTTCATCAAACCAACGAAAATCAGTTTTTTGTTTCAATATTTTTCTCATCAATTTGTAATTTTAAGTTGTAATTGCTAATTAGTGTGGTGATTCCATGTGGGGGAAAGTAATGCTGATCAAGGGCTGTCGTTTGTCATGAATTGAGTGTTGGATTTAATTTGTTATATTTGCCATAAATTTCATCTATCTTTCATATGGTAAAATTAAGGAGGATAAATGATTGTTTATTTGGTCAAACCAATATCATTAATGATGAAAGAAGGCAGTTACAAATAATGACCCATTTAAGGAGAATTAAAGGTAGAAGCATTTTTAATGGAGATGTTAAAATTTAAATATAAAATTTAGATTTGACTGTCTATATAATATTTTGATACCTTTTAAAGTTTTGATATTCATTTGATATATCAAATTAAACTATTATTTTATTACATTAAACTATTTTAATTAATGTTTTAAAACAAAAAAATAATAATAACTAATAAAAATGTATTTAATAACCAATTTAAAAAAATTGAAGTTGCTATCAATTTTGATAGAAACGATGAGAGTTGCCAATCCATATCATGCCACATCCGATTTGGCGTTTCTATTGAAAAACATTGTTGTTGCCTTGTTTTTACTATTACTGTTGATTTGGACACTTCGACGTCTCATTTGGAAATACTCTAATTTGTTTGATCAAACTAAAATCTTTAATCTCCTATTAACCTGTTTGCGCTACATTTGTAGCGAGTGCATCTTTGCTGACCTTTCCTCTTGGTTACCATTAGATTAGTTTGGTTAATTAATCTAAGACACGAATTTTGAAATTTATATGTGGAGCAAAAAATAATCAAGAAAAATATGGAGGCGACTCGTGGATTTTTGGGTTAAAAGGACAAAATTACCCTCGAGGAACACTGAAACTCCTACGCGCGAGCAGTGGACAATCATCTCTCAATCAAGTCAAAAGTGCCCAAAATAGATATTTATTTAAAACTTAATTTCATCCATCCTCATCATATCTTCTCCACAAGGAAACCCCCAAATATTTCCTTTCAAATTATATTAATTAGCTAATTAATTGATTTATTATTCAATTAATTTATTAATTAGCTACAAATCATGAATCTCACTCAAAAAACCATTCAAGTGGCTGGTCCATCTCCTCTCAAAGGGGCCGGCCACACCCCTATATAAACACCCTCATTTTCTCCGAAACTCAATTTCAATTCTCTTGCTAAACTCTCTAAATTCTCCAACCATTTCTCCTCAAAATTCTAACTTTGACATCGGAGGTTTTTTGGCCAAAGATTCATCGTGGGCGAGTGAGGCTCTTGGCCTTGACCTAAGGTGTTATTTGTTTTGTAGGTGCAATTTTGTCCAAGAGCAAGGAGGAAGAAATTTGCACCCACATCATATTAATCTAATGGCAATCAATGAGGGGGGGGGTGAGCATCACCTTCACTGTAGGGGTGAACAAAAATTTATAAGTGTTTTTACTTTTAGTATTTTTACTATAAACATGACGAAATTTAACTAGAAATTCAAGCACTTCTGGAAAAAAAAAAATTTGGTTGACATATAAAACCTCTAGTCCTGAAGGAACCAGGGTGCATTTAGAAGGTTTGGCTTCAATCTAAGGGATTTAATGAAGAAATATTGGGGTATCTCTAAAGTTAAAGAGTCAATATAACTTTTTTACTTCAAATTTAACTCAACTTCTCTGCAATGCATCAGAACATTTGTAGTCATATATAACTCAGGGTCAAATATGATTCACAGAATTAAATGCAATGTCATATTTAATTCTTTATGTGACTCTAAGCTCTTCTATATTATGCTGGAAAAAATTAGGATAAGTTGTTAACGATATATACTTTGTATAGAAATAGATAGTGTTCATACTATTGATTGTTTTGAGCCATTTTAAACCCAAATTAGTTTACCTATTTGTTTATATCCAATGATAGAAATATTTTTTCAGAAAAAAAAGAAGAGAAAATGATAGAAATATTTTGTTTGGTGGTTTTCCAATATCTGCCACTAGGAGCAAAGTTTATGCAATGATTTATGAAGTTTGGTAAAATTGCATATAATGTCACATCACGGCTCGGGGTGGACCACTTTTCAGGCCCGCTCCACCATCGTAGCACGATATTGTTCATTTTGGGCCCCGACCACGCCCTCACGGTTTTGTTTCTGGGAACTCACGAGTAACTTCCCAGTGGGTCACCCATCATGGGAGTGTTCTGGCCACCTTCTCGCTTAACTTCAGAGTTTCGACGGAACCCAAAGCCAGTGAGCTCCCAAAGAGTCTTGTGCTAGGTAGGGATGAGAATATACATTTAAGGATCACTCCTCTGGACGATATGGGATGTTACAATCCACCTCCCTTAGAGGTCCGACGTCCTCGTCGGCACACTTCCGACTAGGGATTGGCTCTGATACTATTTGTCATATCCCCGCCCAGGGCGGACCATTTCCCGAGCCCGCTCCACCACCGTAGCACGATATTGTCCGTTTTGGGCCCCGACCATGCCCTCACGGTTTTGTTTCTAGGAACTCACGAGCAACTTCCCAGTGGGTCACCCATCATGGGAGTGTTCTGGCCACCTTCTCGCTTAACTTCAGAGTTTCGACGGAACCCAAAGCCAGTGAGCTCCCAAAGAGTCTTGTGCTAGGTAGGGATGAGAATATACATTTAAGGATCACTCCTCTGGACGATATGGGATGTTACAATCCACCTCCCTTAGAGGTCCGACGTCCTCGTCGGCACACTTCCGACTAGGGATTGGCTCTGATACTATTTGTCATATCCCCGCCCAGGGCGGACCATTTCCCGAGCCCGCTCCACCACCGTAGCACGATATTGTCCGTTTTGGGCCCCGACCATGCCCTCACGGTTTTGTTTCTAGGAACTCACGAGCAACTTCCCAGTGGGTCACCCATCATGGGAGTGTTCTGGCCACCTTCTCGCTTAACTTCAGAGTTTCGACGGAACCCAAAGCCAGTGAGCTCCCAAAGAGTCTTGTGCTAGGTAGGGATGAGAATATACATTTAAGGATCACTCCTCTGGACGATATGGGATGTTACAATCCACCTCCCTTAGAGGTCCGACGTCCTCGTCGGCACACTTCCGACTAGGGATTGGCTCTGATACTATTTGTCATATCCCCGCCCAGGGCGGACCATTTCCCGAGCCCGCTCCACCACCGTAGCACGATATTGTCCGTTTGGGCCCCGACCATGCCCTCACGGTTTTGTTTCTAGGAACTCACGAGCAACTTCCCAGTGGGTCACCCATCATGGGAGTGCTCTGGCCACCTTCTCGCTTAACTTCGAAGTTCCGACGAAACCTGAAGCCAGTGAGCTCCCAAAAGGCCTCGTGCTAGGTAGGGATGAGAATATACATTTAAGGATCGCTTCCCTGAGTGATGTGAGATGTTACATATAAAGTCAGATTTTGGAGTGGAAAAGTATGCTGCTAATAATATTATGAATGATTAAACTCTAAAATTTGACAAATAAATCAAATAACCAATGAAATTTTATTTTTAAGAAAATGAACAAGATAACTAATCAGGCAGTGGGATATTGCTAACTCTTCATTGACTTTCTACTTATTTGATTTATGAATTTCTTTTCTTTTCTTTTTTTTTTGCCTCAAATATGACATATAAAAGTAGGACCGCCACTTTTTTGAATCAACACCTACCATAATGCTTGACCTATATGCGAATTTGTCCCCTAAGTTTTAGACTTTTTCACTTCGGTCCTTCCACTATTTTTCGTTCCAAGTTTGTTCTTAAACATTTTAAAGTCTGTTTAACATGAACTTATTTTGCCACTTAATACTACAGTCTAGTGATATTCATCTTTATTAGTAAATGAGAGATCTTAAGTTCGGTTCTCGTCAAAAGTGAATTTGAACCATATTATTGCTAACCCATTATGAGGCTTAATCCACTCTTCCACCCTTAATGTGGATAATATTATTCATTTCAAAAGTTGCCACATCATTTTGATGACACCTCTAATTTGACCAAAATGCCCTCAATCAGACATTTTAAAAGAAGATGAGTAATGTCATCGGCTAGCCAAGTGGGCACTTTCAATTGGTAACATTGTGGAAAGAGGCTCCTTCTGATGTTATCTAGGATGTCCTCCTGCAAGTAATGTTATCGTCTCCTTTTTCACCCAAAAAACAAAAAGTGGCTAAATTGTTTTATTCTTGCGTGTCATCGTTTACAACTGACATCATTATTGTCCTTATTAATTACATTCAAAATAGAGAAGTGTTATGAGCGCTCCAAAAATCTCAGTATACACTTTTCACAAGTGTATTTTTCTTTTTAATTAAAAAAAAATTAAGAGTGTAACATGAGATTTTTTTTAATGACAATAACAACTCCCTTAAATATTTAAAGACGTTTATGTAAATGTTAAATTATCCTAATTATAAAATATTTTTCTATAATTCACCACGTCCTGAATTCAAAATATTTGTTTCCTCTTTTAACTTTATATCGCTCGTTATCTATATATAAAACCAACGATAGACTCTAAAAAATTTGGAGCTCAAAGTGGAAGAATCACCAAAAGGCCCGAATTTATATTTAATTACAAGGATTCACCGTGGACCCGACAACATTGCATCTGAACTCCATCAATTAAACTAGAACCAAACCTTCTCAAAGAGCTTTTATGGTGGTCTACATATAGAGAGATCGAAAACGTATGCTCTCAATTACTTGCGTTTATAGTGGAGGCTGTTCCAATTCTGATTAGATTCAACGTCAAGTGCAACGCATTGAATTTAATGCAGTTACAAACTTTGTGGACTATTGTTGAATTTTTGTTTTCGATACAAACGACAACCTTGAAGGAGAAATCGAACCTAAAATTTTAGGTGCATGACCATCGTTCACC